TATTATAACTATTATACACATGAGATTTTTTGGTTTGGACCAAACATAAGGAGTGATCCTTAAAATAGTACCATTACTAAGGTCCACTGACTTAATGGTACTATAATAGCATTGTCAATTACATTAGGAAAGTGACAAAATAATTTTAAATAAATCATTTTAATTTGTTTGTTTTTAAAAAGATAAATATTTGCTGGGTTGCCTTTGGCAGACATGGCCTCAGGTTAAATACTGGTCACCCTGGTAAGAGTCTATGAAAATCAATGGTGAAAACTGTTCCAATCTAATGAAATGGATGTTTCAGACTTATTTACAACTTAGTAAAGTACAGTTGACCCCACCCCCTCAGCTGTGGTTTTGCTTTTCTGGGTTTTAGATGCTGACAGTGGATCATGGTGCAAAGCATTATGTACAATAAAATATTATAAGAGCACAGTCACATAACTTTTACTACAATATGTTGTTATAATTGCTCTATTTTGTTGTTAGGTATTGTTGCTAATCTCTTACTGTACCTTATTTAGAAATTTTATCATAACTATGTATGCAGATGAAAAAATAGAGTATATCCTATACACAGGATTCAGTACTATGTATGGTTTCAGGCATTGGGAGGTCTTGAACATAACCCCCTTGATAAGAGGACACTACTATAAGTGCTCTGGTTTCACATATAAGCTAACTTTCTAAGCAGGACATAAAGACCCAAATCAGTGCAAATTACTAGAGGACAGTAAGAAAGACGTATTTAGTAACTAATTGTAGTTACAATGTTCTTATAGAAAGAAGTTCTTATTATAATAAAAACTAGAAACAACCCAAATATCTAGGACAGCTAGAATGAATGAAGTGTGGTATACTTTGATGTGGTAGAATACTATCTAGCAATGAAAATTTGAAGTATTCTACATAACATAGTAAAAAACAAAGGAAGCCACATGTGCACACTAAATACACATACATACATGCACACATGTATGTATATATATATAGTGTAGGATTTCATTCATAAAATATCAAACTCAGACAAAATTAGTCTGCTGTTAGTATTCCTGCTGTAGTTAACTTGTGGGGAAAAGGTGGAAGAAATGATTTGAAAGAGACACAGGGAGGTTTCTGGAGTGCTAGTGATGTTGTATATCTTGATCTGTGTGGTAGTTATAGGACAATGTTTACTTTATGAAAATGCACAGTTGCATGCTTAAAATTTGTAAACTTTTCTGCACACATGTCATGTTTCATTTCAGAATTTATTTTATGGGAACATGGAATAAAAAGACTATAACATCTCTCCCACTGACACAGTTACACAACTTGAATACAAATGCATGCAGCAGCTACTTAAGGAATCAGAAAAGCACAAAGTAGCAGGAAGATTGAGAAGGAAGACCACACCATCAAACTGGTAATGGGTTCATTATTTTTCCCTCTCTGGGATGCCCAAGTATTGTTTCGACACAGCATATAACCTGGAAATGGGTATCGTGTAGACAGTGCTTCAGGAGAAGCCCTCTAGTTCTGACTCAAGTAGTGGGAAAAGTCCCCTAACACTGCATTCTCTTGTATTCCACCCCTCAAGTGATACTTGGACAGTGGTGGCAGCAACAGCAGCAGCAGCAAGAGAGGCTCTCAGAAGTCTGAAATGCTAATGGAGTGTTAAGTGATCCTAGGATAATATTCAAAATGTACATTGTATAACAAAAATTTATGCTGCATATCAACAACCAGGAAAATCTCAATTGTTAGGGGAAAAAAGTCAGACATTGAAATTATCCAACAAACTTTAAGGTAGCATTTATAAAAACTCCTCAAAAAGTATGGTGAACACTCTTCAAGTGAACGGAAAATATCAACAAAAGTTGTATCATTATATTCAAAGATATAATGAAGAAAAAGTGGAAATTTTAACTTTAGAAATTTTAATAACTACAACACAAAATTCACTGGATAGGTTTAATAGCAGAATGGAGACCATCAAGGAATTAATGAAGTTGAAGACAGACCTACAGGAGTATCAAATCTAAGGAATAGAAAAAAGATGGGGAGGGGAAGACAGAGCCTAAGACATGTGGGATAAAACCAAAATATGTAAAATATTCACATCATCATAACTCAGTTGTAGACAATGCAGAAAAAAGGAACTGATACCAGTAGGCAAAACATTAGAAATTACAAACATCAGTGTAAATACAGTGGGCTATTCAAGCAATATTAATAGGTAGGAGAAATGTTAATAGGTGGGGAAAAACATCACATTATGCAGTGGGGAGACATACATAGATTTGATAGAAATGGATGGATGGGTGGATGGATGGATAGATGATAGAGTGTGTGTGGGGGCGGGGGGCAGCAAGGGAGATTCAAATAAAACCAAAACAGCAAGAAATAGAAACTGAGAAGGACAATGAGGAGGAGCAAAACAAATAATAAAATGGTAAATCTAAATAGGAATGTATGCATAATACAAATGGTCTAAGAAAGCAATCAAAAGATAATGACTGGCTGAATGTGTAAAAAATCAACACCACCACCAAGAAATTGATTTAAGACATAATCATATAGTATTTTAAAAGTAAAAAAAAAAAAAAACCAGAAAAAGTTATACCTTGCAAACACTGAAGTGGTTATATTAATATCTAACAAAATATACTTTTAGAGGTGAAAATAGAGTAGATAAGACATTATGGAAAGTGTCAGTTGACCAATAAGATATAAATATATAAAATGTGTATGCACCAAATAATAGTTTCAGAAAACAAGAAATAAGGCAAAGCTGAAGAAAAAGTCCACAATATTTGGAGAGTTAAACATTCCTCTTACAGTGATCAATGATCTAGTAGGCAGAAAATGGGCAGGAATATAAAAGAACTAAACAACATCTCAACTAATTTGACTGATGTTTAGAAAACATTCCACTCAACAATGACAGAAGACATTTCCCTCAAGTGTGCATGTGACATTCACCTAGCTCACATCCTAGGTCATAAAGCTTAGCAAATGTAAAATAATTGAAATCAATCAAAGTATGTTCTTTGACAATAAGAGAATTAGAATTTATAAAAAATCTCATAAACATGGAAAAATCTCCAACAGCAGCAATTTAATAGCATAATTCTAAATAAGTCATGAGTCAGGGTACTCTAAAGGGAAAATATAAAATATGTTGAACTGAAGAAAAATTAAAACCTATCAAAATTTGTGGGATGAATTAAAGCCATTCTTAGATGAACACCTACATCACTCTACTATTATATAAGAAAGTCTCAAATAATAATCTAAACTTATATCTTAAAAACCCAAATAAAGCTGCAAAATAAATTCAAAGCCAGAGAAGGAAATAAATATAAAAAAGTAGAAACAAGAATGAAACGGAAAAATAGAGAAAATTAATAAAAAGGTGATTCTTTATATCCAGAACACAAGAAGAGTTCTCAAAACTTAATAGTAAGAAAACAATCCAATTTGAAGTTGGCAAAAAACTTGGACCAACAGTTCACCAAAGAGATTACTATGAATGGCAAATAAGCCCATGAAAAGATGTTCAACATCTTTAACCATTAGGGAAACAAAAATTAAAACACTGATGAGTATATCTATTAAAATGGTTAAAGTTTAAAAAATAATAACACTGACATTACCAAGAACCTGTAAGAATGTGAAGCAACTTACACATTGCTAGTATAAAACTAAACAGCCATTTTGGAAACAGTTTAGCAATTTTTTATAAAGTTAAATATACCCTTACCAAATAACCCAGTTTTCTTACTCCTAGATATTTACTCTGAGAAATGAAAACTTATGTTCACACAAAACCTGTACACAAATGTTTATAGTTGTCCCATTATGACCAACAAGAACTGGAAACAGACCAAATACCCTTAAAGGCATAAATGGATAAACAAATGGTAATACATCCAAGAAATAAAATATTCAGTAATTAAAAGGACTATTGATGCATGCAACAATTTGGATGAATTTCAAAGGCATTATGTTCAGCAAAAGAAATCAACTTCAGGTAAAACACTGCCATTCCATTTAAATGACAACCTCAGGATTTCCCTGGTGCCCTAGGGGTTAAGATTCAGTGCAATCACCCCTGTGGCCTGAGCTGATCCCAGGTCAGGGAGGTGACCCATATGGAGCAGCAGACCTCTCTCTCCTTGTCTCGCCTGTTGCTCCCCTCAGCAGTGTGTTTCAGTAGATCCACCTGTTTTGCTCCCCACTCTGTCTCTAGTGAATCCTCTCACCCTCTCACCCTCACTCCCTGCACCTCTGACCTACACCCCAGTTCTTATATGCATAAATAAATTTTAAAACATAAAATAAATAAATAAATGACAATCTCAAAAAGAAAAGACTAGTAATGGAGAACAGATCAGTGATAGCCAATGGGTAAGAAGGGGAGAGAAACTCATACAGAGAACACAAGGAAGCTTTGAGGTGATGAAATTGTTCCATACCTTGATTGTACTAATGTCAACACAAGTCTTTTTTTTTTTTAAGATTTATTTTATTTATTTATGCATACAAGAACTGGGGTACAGGCCAGAGGTACATGGCAATGAGAGGAATCACCAGAGACAGAGTAGGGAACAGAACAGGCAGACTGACTGAAATACACTGCTGAGGGGAGCAGCAGGCGAGTCAGGAGAGGTCTGCTGTGCCATGTGCATAGCTCCCTGGCCGGGGATTGAAATCATGCTGCAGAGGCTGCAGATAGCTTCTTAGTGCTGAGACTGAACTCCTTGCACCACAGGGGAGGCACAGTTACACAAGTATTTCATGCATTAATAGCCACAAAATTCATGAAATGTTTAACAGAAAGAAAAGTTCAATTTTACTATATGTGAATTAAAAAAATACATAAATTAGAAAATAATTTTTGTGATTTACTTTTAAATTGTGGAAATAAATGTCCCCAAATAAGATTTGAGGATCTAGGTTACATCAGAGACTAATTTGATCACAACTTAAGACGAGAAAGATAATGATATACTCACCACTGCTTGCCCCTCTACAGTTTCCATTACTAGAATCCATAGGAAAATCTGAAAGGTGATACAAAAAAGTAAGAATCACAACATACTCACTATTATTTCAAGAATTCCCAAGTAAAAATCTAACTCAGTCACATGTTTGATATGGATTAGAAGGAGGATTCTAATTGATGTTCTGAGCAGGCATTCTACCTTTTGTAGGTCAAATAGGCACAAGAGTTATTCTTTCATGCAAATGAAAGGTGATCCATTCTTTTGAATCCTCATCAACTGTGATTCTTATTGTTGTTCTGAGCTGGCATTCTACCTTTTGTAGGTCAAATAGGGACAAGAATTATTCTATCATGCAAATGAAACGTGATCCATTCTTTTGAATCCTCATCAACTGCATGAAATTTCAAGCTTAAAGAAAGTTTTTTTTCCCTTTCATGAAATTCGCAGATTAATGTCCTACCACAATAAAGTTCATGCACACATTAGGCACGCACCCCAACACTGGTCTATTGATGCCTGAAAGAAACAAACACACCTCCCCTAGTCATGGTACTGTTGTTAAACACACTATGCTTCACCACCTATCACTTCACAGAATAGATTTATCACATTTTACTGGCATGTATTCAAATTCTTAGGCCTAAGGAGAACATTAGGAAAGCAATCTCAGAACACATACAAATGATAACAGGTATATGAAAAGGTGCTCAACTAACAATCAGGCAAATGCAAATCAAAACAACAGTGAGCGTGGGTCACACCTGTTAGGATGGCTAGCTAGTACCAAAAAGACAAGAAATAATGGTGTTGGCCAGGATATGGAGAAAAGGAAACCCTGCGCGTTGTCAGTAGGAACGTATATGAGTGTAGCCACTACGGAAAACAGTATGGAGATTGCTCAAAAATTAAAAATAGAATAACCATGTAATACAGCAATGTCACTTGTAGATATTTATCTAAACAAAACAAAACACCAATTGAAAAAGATATCTGCACCCCCAAGTTCATTGCAGCATTATTTACAATAGCCAAGAAACAACTCAAATGTTCATCAGCAGATAAACAAAATGTGGTATACATACATACAATAGATAATCACTCAGTTATATGAAAAGAAAATCCCACCATTTGTGAAAACAAATGAGGGTATTTACACTAAGTGAAATAAGTCAGACAGAGAAAGACAAATACTTCAACATCTTTAGAATATGACACCTAAACACACACACATACACCTTAAAAATAAAGAGAATAGACTGGGGTAGTTGGCAGAAGTGGGGGTGGACAAAATAGGTAAAGGACATCAAAAGATACAAACTTCCAGTTACAAAACGGGGGTGTAAGTACAGTAAATAATACACCATCCAGGGCTTACTCAAGCTAGTGCAAGTAATAGATGTGGTAATGATTAGAAATTGCCATTGACTTTTTTCATGATTCTATACTCCCAGAAAATGGTAATGATAAATGGTAATTAAAATGGTAATTATATAAAGTTCAGTGTTCTAGTTAAGAGAGCATCCTCAAATGAGTAACACCGAGTTACTCAGTGCTGATTGGCAAAGCACCATGCTGACAGATGCTGTAGCTATCCATTCTCATTGACACTCAAATCAGTACTTTTACAAGAGTGATTACATTTGTATTAATACTTTATGCTCTGGGTAACATGTGAGAATCTGGAATGTGTAGTCTCTGTCATGGCAAAAGTGCAGCAAATATAGTATCTTATCTCTTGGAATCCATTGTCCAAGGCTGTCTTATATGTTCATAAGCTGAATATAAACAGGCATACAAAATACGATTTAAAAAAAAACCTTGATCCTTTAAATGGTCGAAAGACACAGATTCTCCATAAAATGTTCTTCATGAGAGAAGCAATATAGTACAGAAAGGGTTCTGGTGTGAAACCTTCTTTCTCATAAGAATTTCATGAACTTGGACAATTAACTTCTACATGCTTCAACTTCTTTTTCTGCAAAATGGGAATAATAGTACTCACCACCTAGTTATTATAAGAATTAAATAAATTAACACGCATAACACATTTTGGGGTTTTTTAAAGTTTTTTTTAAGATTTATTTATTTACGCATACAAGAGCTGGGGTACAGGCCAGAGATGTAGGGGGTGAGAGGATTCACAAGAGACAGAGCAGGGAACAGAACAGGCAGACTGAGTGAAATACACTGCTGAGGGGAACAGCGGGCGAGACAGGAGAGATCTGCTGTGCCATGTGGGTTGCTCCCCAACCTGCCGGGGATTGAACTCATGCTGCAGAGGCTGCGGATCACTTCATAGTGCGGTCCTTAACCCCTTGTGCCACCAGGGAGGCCCGCATAACGTTAACATTTTGAACAGAACCTAGAACACGTGGAATGCTATTCTTTTTCTACAGCAGTTAATGATTCCCATCTCGAGGTTGTCCTCTCCTGGTCATGTTGCTTAGCACTTATATTGTGCTTTCCCATTTATCTCTTCACATAAATAGCTCTTTTGTGACACATTTCCCAATGTCAAAAGACTAACTCAAGGTATAGCATTAATGGCAACTTCAGAGTTTTGACTAAGAGCTAAAAACTCTAAAAGGGTCAGATTCTCTAAGTTGAGAAAATATAATCAATTCTTAATTAGTCAAACTGTATGTTGGATATTGTATGATGTTAGACTTACTATCATCATTTTGCAAAATACACAAACATCAAACATTAAGTTACACATCTGAAGCTATTAAGTTGTATCAACTGTATAGGATTATTTTTAAATTTTTAGTTATATGGCTATATGGTGGCCTCTTTCAATATACCCAGTAGAAAGAGAAAGGTTAAATATAATTTAGACAACTTGCTATTTGGATGTTTGGTGGGAACAATATACAAAATGATTTATTAAATATTTGGGAATTACATAATAGTCTACCACCAATAGGGTTAGCTGTAAATAAAATTAAATACCATAACACTCAGATACTTTACTCCATCCAGAGTACTTCTCAATATTTTACATGATGAAGGATCCTTAGAATCATGTTTTCTCTCTAGTATCAATCTAAAATTTCCATTTCTCCTTTCCATTCCATTTTCCTCTTCATATCACACTAAATAATTCTTCCTTCTTGGTATTTGGCCCCTCAAATATTTGCAGACCAGTGCTAAAGAAAAGGCTGCCTGTTTCTCAGAGAGTGGAGAAATGATTAAACAGCAGTTCATGCATGGAAAAGTTGGCACAGCTCTGCCAGGCAAGAGGGGGCTGGAGAAATGTGTTGGGCAAGAGCTGGGGTGACAAGTTAACACCACCACGGAAACCAGTAGTGACTGAGAAGTGATTATAAAGCCTTTGGCAGGGCAGACGATGGGTGTTGTATAAACTGCTGTTAAATATAACAACATTTTAAAAAATTCATTTCTACATTCTGAGATCAACTACATATAACTAACAGACATCCATTAGGTTCTTTCTTTCTTCCTGAAGTTCTCAAAGGAACTTGTTCTTGAGTCTGAGATTCAAGTAAAATTGTATAAAATGCAGTACTAATTTCATATATTTGAGAAAAGATATCTGCGTTCTCAGTGTGAAGCTTGTTCCACAGACCCGAACTGATAAAAAGTTCTAGACTGTATTTGCATAGGGCAACATACAATTTCAAAAAAAAAAAAAAAAACAACAAAAGAAAACTTCAATTTGATATAACAATGATAAAAATTGTAAAATAGCAACAGCAGACACAACAATTTGCTAAGTGCTTACTACCTATCAGGTACCATATATGTAGTTTAATTTCATCTTTACCATGCCCATGGAATGCAGGCTATATTGTTCCTATGTTACAAATCAGAAAACTTATGAATCAGAGCAGTTTATTATTTTCCTATATATAACAGTAGACATGAGGCAGAGTCAAGATCTATCACCTCGTCTGTCCAACTCCAAACTCATGCTCTTCAGTCACAATACTATATTAAAGGTTTGACTAAACATCTTAATTAACTGGCTGAATAAATTGAACTCGATTCTCAAGTAAAGAAAATATAGTAATACATGAAACCCCACTCCATAGTAAATATAAAATGTGTGAAAAGAATACATTTAATGTGAATATTTTAGCGATGTTCAGAATATGATCTTTGCTTTATAAATGTACATCTGCCCTAATACTTGAAGCAATGCTCCATTTCAATAAGACTTTGCTTTGTAAGGTGTCCTAAGCTTGTTAATGGAGTCACACTGTGCTTTGAGGAAACAGATCTATGCAAATTGTAGGATTTGAAAACCCTCTTGGCAGTAAGGAAATGTCAAGGATAGTCCCATTTTATTCAAGGATACCTCATTTTTATAACTGACTGCATAGATTCCAGTCACAAGATATAGGGACTCTGTTTTTACTTGGAAGGAGGAGGAATAAACCCTGTTTCATGAACTCTTACATCCTACTGAACCAAGGAGTATATTGCATTGTAAATTAAACTGGCCACATGTGGTAGTAATTCTAAGTAATTCCAGGTGCCTGACAGTTTGACCCACGATACAGAATGTAATTTTCAGCAAGCTGGCCCTAGAAGCCTGTGGACCCTTCAGGCTAGAATCCCCCACACACCCCATTCCCTGTTTCTACCTCCCCTCAGCTCCCTCCCGCTACCCCAGTCTCAAGGGGAGGGGAGGGGCGAGGGACACAAGCACTAAAATATGGTTCCAACTGCCACTTAATCCCGACTTGCTTTTCTAGCAAGAATGCTGTCAGCAAGGCTGATATTATAGCATTTTTTTTACTGCAGCTCAGAAATCAGGTCCCTGGACTGACAAATTGTTTCCATGCATATCCTATTTGTGTGCTTCAATGAAGCAATTGTTCTACATTTGGTCTACAATGACACTTCGGGAAAATGCTTGCCATCTATACTGACTGTGGCTTTGCGAGCCATTAACCTTGCCAAACCCCACTCATTTGAGGTCCCTCTCTGAAAGATTTAAAAGCAAATCTTCTCCTTTAAGGGGAGAAATACATTTCAGCAAGAACCACAGACACCTCATTCCTAGCCCTCCAGCAGAGAGGAGTACCCGTATTTCACTGATTCTAAGTGCTTGGCAGACCCCAGCAGCAACTGACTGATGCTTCTAAAGTCTGCAGAGCCTGTGACATAAGTGAGAACAAATGTTCAAGAATGACCAAAGATTAATAAAAAATACATTTCTTTCCCATTATTTTACATAACCAGTTCTTGGTTCTGCATTAAAAATCAGTAAGATACTAGGTATATCTTAAGGATAATAATGTACTAATTGCAGTGATCATTGAAATTTTTATGAAATTTCTTGGTTTAATTTTTGTTTTTTAGCTATTTGGACAAGCCCTTTGCCTTTCCTCTCTCACTTTCTATTAAGGAAATCAGTGAGCATAGAAAATAATTTTTCTAAATCAGTTCCCTGACAACCAAGAACTATTACCTAGAAGTGAATGAAGGACCTTTTAGGCTGTATAAATTGAGAGGCAGAAAAGTTGATCCCCAAAAAGTGAACAGAGATGGAAGCAATCAAGGCAATGCATCTAAGAACAGATTTGATCTGACGAGGGTATGAACAAGGACCATTCGTAAAAAAGAGAAAAATAAGGATTTCTTTTTAAAGTATATGTGAAGGGTGAAATTCAAGCATTGGGTTAATTGGGAGAAGTGACATAGAGTTAGAATTAAGCAGACCATTATGAACTAGTTTTAGTTGGGGATCTTAAGAATTATGACTATAATTAACCCCACACTAATGAGAAAACAACTTGTGATTTATTCCATTAAATGTAGAACTGCAATAAAGTTTTATGGTAGGGAAAGACTGAAATGAATGTGTGGTTGATGTGCACACAAAGAGTATAAAATAAGGTACTAAAGACAAATTATTTGCAGAGCATAAGACTAGGATAAGGGGTGAGATTAAAAATAACATTACATGAGTGCATGATGATAACACCCCTTAAATATAACTCCTTTCGTCCATATGTCATTTACAAAATGACTTGAAGGCATGTGGGAATGTGAAAAGAGCCCAGCAATCTCTCTCTCCGCCAGCTCTGTGGCTGGAGCAAGTCACAGGAGCTAATTAGCAGTGCATAGCAATGTTTCACAGCTGTTTCAGTGTGGAATGGAAGAACAATTTATCTCATTGAAAGGAGGGGGAAATTTAAGGTGAAGGTAATTGCTCAAATTGGGTTTTGAGCAAACACATACCATTAACATCTGCGGGTTGGAATAAGGTTACTGAAATTATCTTGGTATTTTTAATGAGTAGAAAATAAGGCCTCACTTTTCTGTTTTCTCCCCACAATCTTGACAAGCAGCTAAAACACTAAAGACATAGGAAATGATGAGGAAGAACACAAGAGAATCAGGCAAGAATGCTCAGTGATTGTAAACAAATTAAGTAAGAAAAGAGCATCACTACACAAGACGTGGTTACTCCACCATGCAAAGCGGAAAGCTAAGGGTCAGTGTAGCTAGAAGTGTGATGGGCGGGGAAGGAACGATGTGTTTTAGAAAGGCAGGTCACCTATTGCAATAGAACGCATGAGTTTGGCAGGGTGGTGAATTAAAAGGAAAAAAAAAACACTGCTTGATAGAAAAATAATTAAGGAAAAGAATGAGAGAAGTTCTCTTCCGCTCCCCCCGCCCCCCCCAAAAAAACTCACAGAATTAGAGAGTAAAGGCAAGAAACAAGGACTCCTGAAGCGAGGGGGCTGCCGTGCTGGAGGAGAGGCTGCGAGTGCCCGAGACTCACCCGCTCCGTCTGCGGTGACAATGGCCTCGGGAGAGATGCACACGCCGCGGTCATAAACCGGCAGCTCCTCGCAGGCCAGGCTCTCCGGCCACGAGTGGCGGTACTTGATGAGGATGGGCTCGCAGCCTTGTCGGGCCCGCTCGCACACCGACTTGCAGGGCTTGATGGGCTCGTGCTGGAAGTCAATGGTGCAGATGGGTGCATACATGGCACAGAGGAAGAAGAGCAAATCAGGGCTGCAGTGGGTGCCCAGCAGTCCTTCGAACTGCTCGATGGCCAGGATGGCGTTGGCCTGGGTGCTGTGGTGCAGGTGGTTGGGCATCTTGGTCATGTTCCAGGGCAGGGACTTGCACAAGGGGATGCGCACAGGCTCACAGGAGGCAGCCCGAGCTCCGGGTACGCTGAGCAGGCCGAGCGCGGCCAGGGCGAGCAGCCCGGCCCGCAGCAGCAGCATCCCTCCCGGGCCGCCGCAAGCCATGATCCCGGCAGGACAGGGCAGGGTGCAGCAGTGGCGAGGACGCCGAGAGGCCCGCTCCGCCGTCTCCTCCTCCCCCCTGGAAGTGGACACAATGATCTGGGAGCTTCTCCTCCCCCCGGCCATCTCACAGCTTCCTTGGATCAAATTCCCCCAATGGGGTCCCACGAGCTTCGCCGAGCTCCAGGCGCCGCCGCCCCTGTCGCTACTGCAGTTCTGGCTGCTCTTTCCTGACGTCTAAGCCTTCTGGGGCAGCAGCATCTATTTATTCCTCTCCCCCTGGCAGAAGCATCAGACTTCGCAGATGAATCAGATGAGAGGAAAACAAGAGGAAACGAGGGAGAAAGAAAAACAAAAGTAGAATTCTGCTGAGGTAGTTAGAGCTCTGGGATGTCAAGTCCCCAGGGTTGCAAAAAAAGGTGCTAAAAGAAGCCTGAAATCCCCCAAAGTGGGGGTGGGGTGGGAATGAGAGGCATCCAGTGGGAACAACTCCTAAAGGGGAGGATGGGGGCGGTAAGAGTTTGCAAATCCTGTAGATTGAGCAAACATCCAAATCTTGGTGTGCGCTGCTGCTGACGCCGCTGCAGCACCCGGGCGGGCGGGAGGAGCCTCGACGGGCGGTCCGAGCCTGGGCTCCGCAGCTCTCCACGGACCCACCTTCGGGCGGGAGGGGCAGCTCCACCCCCGAGGCTGCCCGGGCCCTCCAGCGCCTACCCCTCTTCCCCGGAAGGGAGTTGGGGCTGGGGCTGGGGCTGGGGGTGGGGGAAGAGAAGGTGGGGAAGCCTTGAGGAGCTGTGAGGATGCGGAAACTCTAGACAACGCAGACTCGGGACTGGGGCCTCTTCCCCACCCCCACGCTCGCCAGACCCTCCGGCTCCAAAGAAGGGCCCCCCCACACACCGCAAGTCCCCACTGGGGGGCTCCCCCGGGGCCCCTCTTGGAAACCCACTGGAGTCCCTTGCTCTCCGCAGTGATTTGCTTGAAACAAATTGCAGCTTCACCTCCGCGATCTCCAGCTCCGCAGCATATGAGCCCCGAGGAAAGACCTAAACAATGTCACTGTAAAGGTCCAAATTGCAGAAAACATGGACCTTGGGGAAATAGTGGTGGAGCCTCATCAACCCAGAGCTCCGCACTACGGAGGTCTATCTTTTGGATAACTAGGTAGGAGGCGGTTAACTTTCATAAAAAGAGAAGTGCTGTGCATAATTAATTGCAAATAGATAACCAGAAGCAAGAAACAGCTTGGTGGGTTTTTTTTCCTTTTAAATTTTTGTCTTTACCCGACAGAATTAGAAATGTTTGATTTTGCTTTTCAAACGTGAGTGAAAATTAAGTTTAAAGTACTCAGACACTAGTTGTAATTTTACTTACTAAAATAACTTTTCTCGCCAACAATTTCACCTAACACGAGAGAAATGTGTAGGAAAATTACACCACACAGGTAATAAAACGATGGTGATGATGATGATGACAGTGATCACAACAAAAACCTTTTCCACCCAAAAGAGTTTAATCTAGAGAGGAAAATAGAAAACGGATGCCCCTCCTGGTCGGCTCATTCCACTAATGAGCCATCTCTTTTCCTCCCTGTACACCCTCCTCCCTTTTCAGGGCATATTGTAAATGGAATGACCTTGCACCCTGCCCTTTCAGTGGGAAATCACTGAGCAAAAGGGTTGCAGAATGTCAGAAAACACAGCCTTCATTGAGAAGAAAAGGAAACAAACCCTAAAACAAAACAGGAAGTCACCTTTGCGCTGCATCATGGAAATATTTCTTTGCTTTAATTCAGCCATTTCTCAAGTCAATAGGAAGAAGGAAATAAAAAAGTGCTCTAAAGTGCTCCCACTTCAGAGAACACAGGGAGATAGTGGTTTCCATTTCTCAGCTTTGACTTGACAGCACTTAAATAAAGATCAGTGCTAGTGCAAGGTTATGAAATTTTATCTCTAAAATGGACATAAAATGTAGTTTATGATGGCAGTAATTTTTTTCAGAAGGAAGGATTAATGAAAAACTAAAAACAACAACAACAACAAAAACCACATGGCAGTAGGGAATCATTAAGTTAGTATACAAACTTAAAATAATTGTAGCCTGGTCTACAATTATTCAGTGTAATATAAGAAAACAAAGCCAAAAGTTACATAAATGAATTCAATAGAAGATGACTTTGTAAAATTTGGAGGTCAAAACAATTTTAAAAAGACAGTGTTAGAACATTTCAGAGATAATCTGTATAAAGAAAATGTAGCTGAGGTTTTCAATATATTAGAAGGAAGAAGTGAAGAATAAACATAATACATTGTTTGCTAAATATGTTTTTCTGTTCATCTTAAACCTTACAGCATGAGAAAAAATGAGCCAATTGTTTTTATTATTCTACAACTATTTAAAATCAAATCTGTTTTCCCCCCCTTTTTAACTTCAGAAAAGTCAATAACCCCTTTGTGGAATATGTCCTCTCACAACTTCAAACTTGCCTTTGTCAAAACCAAAAAAAAATTTGCATGGCCTCCCAGAAGTCTTTTTGAGTAACCTCCCTGAACCTGTTCGTATTTCTAGTTAGTTCCCCTTGAACAGTGTTTATTTTTGCAAAATATTTCTCAGCATCAACCAATTTATTAATTTTTTTTCTTTTCTCTTCCATCTGGGTGTGCTCTCCTTCCTTGATAGCATGTATGGCTTTTTAAAGAAGAGAATTCATCTTTTATTTTTTTTTAAATAGGCATTTGAGAAATGCTGACTGGTAAAATTTGGAGTGCAATATTTTATTTTATTTTATTTTAAAGATTTATTTATGCATACAAGAACTGGGGTAGAGGCCAGAGATATGGGGGGGTGAGAGGATTCACCAGAGACAGAGTGGGGAGCAGAGCAGGTGGATCTACTGAAATACACTGCTGAGGGAAGCAGCAGATGAGACAGGAGAGGTCTGCTGAGCCATGTGGGCATCTCCCTGACCAGGGATAGAACTTGTGCTGCAGTGGCTGCAGATAGCTCCATAGGTTGTGTCTCAACCCCTTGTGCCACCAGGGAGACCCTGGAGTGCAATATTTTAAATATTAAGATAGGCACATCTAAAGAGAAGTCAAATCCAATTTGAGTAAGTAGTGACAACTAAGTTGAGAAATTTCATGTAGGAAACACAAGTTAGTTATGGCATACAGTTTATGAAACAGGGTGGTCCCCAGGAAAGGGGGAGATTCCAGGTTTCCTGCCCCACCCAAGGGAGGGTGTTGCTGAGCAGGGAGAGAAGAAGCTGCAGAGGAGACTGAGGAAGGAAGGAAGCAGGATGGAGAGCCACAAGGAGACCTGGAGGAGACACATGGGGCCAAGAGACACATAAAGAAACTGCACTTGCCTTTAGGTCATGGACTGTTTGACACAGATGTGGGTGAGAGACCTGTGGGGAGGTGATAATGGCGGTTTTTGTCTTGATTTTGATTTTGCGCCTTTCCTTCCAGACTTGCCTGGTGGTTTCTGATCCTTTTCTGTGGGTCCCCACTGGAAGATGCTTGTGGCAGGCTTTGGGGCCTTGCTCTGGGCCAATCCTGCTTGGGCAAACTTTTATCCACGAGGGGACGGGTAACATTGGGTGCTTGGTTTAGAAACTATATTCTTTGCCTTTCCTGTATTGTTTCCTAATTGAATTAAAGTTCCTTCCCATTAAATTCTCCTATGTTTTGTGTTGATGTGGCAGATGGCAGAACAGGTTTAGGACAGACAGGTTTGTGGGGTTTGGGGTGCCCCTCTCCCTGCCCTGTAACAGATTTGGTGCCCAACGTGATTTAGGACAGAGCCATCCGTGGTTAGTCAGCCCCGTGGGGAAACTGGGCTTCCCTATGGCACCGGCTACCATAAGCACAAATGTGAGTTTTGGTTTCTCTAGTATGTTTGTTTCATATGTAGATTTGCTGTTGAAAAACTGGCTTGTGCTTTGTGAAGATTCTGTGTGTCTGTGTGTAGTTTGTAGTAACTTACTAAGAGATCTGATTTTGTGGAAATTGTTCTGTGCAACAGTTTTACTCAAAAGATTAGGTAGTAGGTTGGAACATGTGACCAGATCAAAGTTGGTGTCTGAGGCCACTTGGCAGGCTCTTAAAATTCAGAGGTTCTTGTTGCTAGGACCTTGGACCTTTTTTTTTCTTTTTGTAATCTCTGCTGTCTCATTAACATTTCTAAAGGCAATAATGATTCTTCAGTGATATGTTGCTTTGTCTTCCACTACTTCCTGACCTCTGCCTGAGGAGCTTTGCAAGTCAACTGTGGAGCAGTGGTGTTTAACTGAGCAAATGTATGCCTGGGTGTTAAGGAAAGAGTAGCCTTAAGCAGTAACTGGTAATTGCTGGTAGCCTTGATGGATTCTTGGAGATAACTTGAATTTTTGCAAGGTCTGGATCAGAAAAATTAAAAAGATTTTGTCTGAGTCTGAAAGGATTGCTGCTGTGAATTTTGTGTACACTATTTGTTTTGGGCCTGTTTGCCATTTGAAACCTGGATTTGTTCAATTTGCTGGTGTAAGACAAGATTCTAAGTTTCCGCTTCCTACTGAGGAAGGTCTGTTGTGGAAAGCACTCTTTAGGGTGCATCATGTAACTGTGCCAGGTTTTCATACCTGTGTTGTTACTGTCCCTCCCTAGTGTGGGGGAGGTGTAATCTGTGCTTTGATGTGAATCTGCTCTTTCAGCTTCTGTCCCAGGTCGCTAACAGAAGTAAGGAGATGACTCCTTTTAATTGAAAATTAATTGCTGATATTTTGATTGTGCTTTTTCAGGTTCTGTTCCAGGAAACCCAAGGAGTGCCTGTTTGGTGGCTAACAAGTGATGACTCCTTTTGCTTAAAAGATAACTGCTGCTGGGCCTCCCTGGTGGCGCAACGGGTGAGCGCTGGGTTGCGAAGATGCCCGCAGCCTCTGCAGCACCGGTTCCAAAACGGCTGCTCCCCGGCCACCTGAGGAGGGTCCCACATGGCCCGCAGACCTCTCTTGCCACCTGCTGCTCCCCTCAGCAGTGTACTTCAGTCTGCCTGCTCTGCTCCCCGCTCTGGCTCTGGTGAATTCTCTCACCCTCCCGCACTTCTGACTGTACCCAGTGCTTGTATAAATAAATAAAAATAAATCTTAAAAAAAAAAAAGAGGGCCTCCCCGGTGACGCAGCGGTTGAGTGCTGGGATGCGAAGCTGCCCGAAGCCTCTGCACCACCTGTTCGATCCCCGGCTGCTCCCCGGCCACAGGAGGAGGGTCCCACATGGCGCGCAGACCTCTCCTGCCGCCCGCTGCTCCCCTCAGCAGTGTACTTCGGTCCTTCTGCCTGCTCTGCTCCCCGCTCTGGCTCTGGTGAATTCTCTCACCATCCCGCGCTTCTGACTGTACCCAGTGCTTCTATAAATAAATAAAATAAATAAATAAATAAATAAATAAATCTAAAAAAAAAAGATAACTGCTGATTTTGCTCTTTCAGCTGCTGTACTGGATACCTCAGGATTGGCTTCCAATAAAAAGGCTTGAACACTAAAAATCCTAAAGTTACAAGGTCATGTGACTCTTGTAATTAATAAAACTTTTCCTTCCTATT